AAAAAATTAATCATAGTTCGAAAATTCCTGAAAATAGTCTTATCCATAAAAGTAAAGTGATTTCTTTTGTGGAATACTTTTGTTGAGTTCTACCTTTGATAATAAATTTTGGGAGCTCATAGAATAAGCCTTCGGATCCGTGGAGCCTTCTTTATTATGATAAACTGATCCTCCCCGCTACTCCGTACTCCAAGCCACTTTGTTCTTTGACCATTATTCTTCGATTTTCTGACCTTTACAGAGATTTCGCTACATTGGTGATCCGACGAATTCCATCTATCTCGAAATTGGAGTCTATGGAATTTTCGCAATAAACGAAGGCTAATGACATGGGCAGTCTACCAATGGTGGTGACATCAATCATGATGGGATTGTACTTCTTCAATCAATCACATGTTTGCTTTTTCTTTGAGGCGGGAGCAGGATTAGGTATGTGGTTTTAGTTCAGGGTTTGTTACAAAATCCTGTGATTATGAGTAAAGCAATAATAGGAATCACTCGTCATAGGCCTCAAAATATGAACGTGCACCCAATTTGTTTAGATCTCCACAAAACTGATGCGCTCTGATAATGTAGGTAATCCACACGAATGATTTCAGTGAGAGAGTTCTTTTTCTTCACAGCACCAACGCGGCGAGATCGAACTCACGACCTCCTGGCCGGAGACAGCGCGCGTACACACTGCGCCGTTTCGCAACAATCGCTACCGCGGTGCGAGCCTTCAAGTCCTCACCTACAGAGCACGAACTAATCTTGGCTTTTCATTTCAACTGCGTGTTTAAGAACCCTTCTCGGTTTATTAAATCACAAGTCTATCCAAAATTAGTAAAAATAGTATCAAAATAAGAAACAGTAATAGCAAGCTGCTTTCGGCCGTATATATAACCGTTTTCACAGAGCTACCACAGCTGAGTGGCAACATGCAATTTCAAATGCATCATGTGCATAGGAGGAACCATCGGTAGATCGAATTCAATGCCCGAGATCAGTTCGACGTCCCTCAGACGAGCCGTATACTGCAGAAGTAGCTCTCCGGATGCCTAAAAAAGTGCACGATAGAAAGGCTAAGTGCATAGAACACGGAGAAAGTCTTGAGGATTTCCTTCCGTTTAAAGTACAGTTGTAAATTCAAACGAAAGGTCAGCAAAGGTCATCGAGCGATGCGAAATAGTGAATGATGTTGTGAGTGCGTGCATAGCAAGGAAACACATCCATTTTGGGCAATGACATTTGCTCTCGAATGACCACAGACTTGATAGACAACAGTGCGGGGTTCGCTGGATTAGAATAAGCAACACTCACACCAATTCTGCCCCAATATCTCGAAAATAATCTACTGTTCAGGGCAAAGGTAGTGCAGCGGAGAAAAGGGGAGTTGCATTTGCTCGCACAGTTCCTGGATCAAATCCTGCTCAACTTGAAAACTTCCACGCCTCGCGCTTTCCATTTTTGCTGTAGGGAAGCTACCGCATTCAGGGAGGAACAAAATAAGGTCAACATATTACCAATGATTGGTACGGACCCTTACGGAATAATCAATCAAATATCAAATAAAAAATTCTCACCAAGCCATTTATATCGCCTTTCATGTGCGGGAAAATAAAGGCAAGCACCTCCGTTCTGAGCGGATTTCGGCAGGAAAACCCATCAGTAGACCAAGCTGATGAACACTTTATGAGCACTCGATACAGATGAGATGGTGAGCCGCTAAATTTGTGATGAAGTCTGTGAAGCAAACAAGCAGAGCTGAGAGCTAACGAGACTGCATTTTATACACTGAATGACTCTAGCGTTGATCATTCAATTTCAGTGGAACAGTGCGAAACTGCAAGACAGCTTTGCATGCATGAAATCTCAAGCTATCAACATATCCAACGCCACAAGACCTGTTTATGCTCTTCACTTTGTTTTTGGAAACCTGCTGCTGCACGCACAGCATTTCGAAACCACACATTGACCCTTTGACTACTGTGGTACCCATGTGTACCACTTCCGTGTAAACGTTCACTTCTGCAGTCAAAGGTACTACAGTTTTGGCACCTACTGAGACAGGAGCACCCGCTTGATGGCGGAATTCAATACAAATAGGAACTCTACTAACTTTGCGACCGTGAAGGGTAATGACGTTAACCTTTGTATTAATTCTTGATATGACACGAACTCGTCACGCTAAATACGAGTAACCCTGGAGAACTTACTAAAGAATGTCCTACCACAGTTTACTGTGCTCAGTTCCCAAAACGTATTACAGTTTTTGATTCTCGCACACTCTTAATACTAAGCGGTGAAGTTGTGAGTGGTAATTAACACGTTAGAGACCGCGCATGTTCTTTCCGGCAGCATGGGACTTCAGTAGAAGTGTCAGAAGACTTAAAGGCAAAGTTCGGGCTCAGACCCACCTAATAAGCCCTTAAAGTGGCTAGAAGTGCATGGGACGCAACTGCAGGCGACTCGCCAAGTTCCCGCATCGAAATGCGTCACTAAGGCGCTAGGGGCCAAGGACTTTGACACGCTCCACCTGTTGCGACACGCTCCGCCCACCGCTCGATATCTTGTCTGCGTCGCGTTGATCTGCTATGCTCTCTCTTCTCGGACTTCTCTACCGCTCTCCGCGCTCACATTATCTCTCATCTCCCTGCCGGCCTTTTGAACTTCTCCGCAGCGTAGAGCAAAAGGCTCGTATTTCCTGTGTATTTCACGATTTTTTTCCTTTTTTCTCCACTGGCGGTCCACCTCCCCCTACCCCTACTTTCACATTTGAGTGGAATTACCTCATAATTTAAACCTGAATCTTGCCTTTGAATGACGAATTCACGATAAGAATGAGTCGAAAGGGAAAACTGCATAGTTGAGACAGAGGGGCCTCCCAAAGGTGCTGACCTTTGCGCAATTGCAGCGAAAGATTTGACCTCAGGGTATCTAGCTCGGCTCGCTCTCTAGCGCGGTTGGCGGGGTACGCCCACCGACTATCTAATCACTCGTCGCACGTCTATACTAAGCGAGTGCTAGCAGATAGAGAGAGAGAGCGTAGCGTTGAAGAGAGCACATCCATAAGAAGCACATTATGCGGAAATCAGTTGATAAAGAAGTTGTCCCATTTATCGGTTTTCGGGCTGTTCAAATGATTTTCGCTTGATCTCTGTCACTGACCCCCCCAACCCTTTTTCAATGGAACTTTTCATCGTACGTAATGCCTTTAGGTGAACACACCTTTGAACGCTGACCAGCTGCTCCCTACGTGATTTTCTCCATTTATGATTGCGACGGACGCTTGACCCTGGTCCCTCACTCTGATGAAGGCTCCCACTCTTCTGCAGAAGATACGAAAGCAGCGAGTGAGGTAGCAGGAGAACCGATACAACAGGGGAGAGCTCACTTTTAAGCCAAGCGGCGAGCAGGCGAGTCCGTAGAGATTCTAAACAAAAGGAGATAGAGTGTTGAAAGAGAGAATGCCTTTCATCGAAGGCAGCACTGTGGAAGAAAAGAGACGCAGTATGGTGGAGGTTAAATTTCAACAGACAGCTGGTGACACTCATATAACCCACAAGACACATCGGAGGCCGTGGTGCACAAAACTCTAAACCAACAAACAAGGGAGTTTTATTCTATGCAAATCACATCAAAATCGTTTGTTGCATATTGTAGCGAGGCTTGTAGGAAACACAAAACCATGTTTCATTTTATAGCAGTACCACAAAAGAAGCATAAAGTCTCTAATAGGTCTCCCCCGTGGCGATTACTTTGCGTTTGGGTGGGGCGCCTACTTCGTACCAAATCGCTAAATTTCAAATCAGATGTCGTGTTCATGCAGAACTAACTTGAGCAACAGTGACGCCAACCCTTGGATTTTGCAAAACTTATTCGCCGCGGGGATCGAAACACAAGGGTATCATTCATCACTTTTTTGATACTACTAATCGTTCCGCATGAACGAAACATGGTTTTGTGGTCCATACATGCGCCCCTACAATATGCAAGAAACCGTTTACAAAAAGCGCGGGCTTGCCTGAAAGGCCCCCTTGGGAATTTAAGGCGAGCAAGTTGAGGAGTCCTTTGAGAATAGAAAATGGAAAACCAAACTTTTCGAGAGATAGCAAAGATACTGGAAAAGATATAAGAGTGCGCTATGGTCGAAGGTGAAGCAGGGTCAACCGTTACGTTGGACCGATATTGGAGCGACGTTGGACCGATGTTGACCGCTCTCCGCGCCGGCATTCACTCTCGCCACCCGCGAGCCGTCTGTGTCTCCGTGCGTACGTTCACTCTCGGCATTACTCTCGTCGTCGCGTTGGACTTTGTCCAACGGACGGTTGACCCTGGTTGTACCTTGCGAACAGGGCTATCATAAAACCGTGGTAGTTGACACTTAAAAACCAACTATAAGCCAAGAAAGCGGGATCACCAAAAAAAAAAAAACGGAGAATAATTGGTGACATGCTTCCAGGACCCCTTCCCAGCCGCAGGACTTAGGGCTAGTTCTACTAGTGGCTCGCAAGCTTGATTTCGCCTACCACCTTCCCCCCACCCCAACGAAATGAGCGCCGTTGAAGACTTTACGTTCATGGTTATTGTACGGGTATAAAGCAGGATAAGTAGAGAAAACAAAAATTCAAGAAGAAAGAGTCCAAACTGTGTGAAAGACTGCCATAAAGACAGATTAAGCGAAGAGCGAAAAAAAATGGCAGAAATGGCGCAGAGCCCATTCAGAGTGTTCACCAAACTGGCAAATCGAAAAGTCCACGAAAACGAGTTAATGCTTATCGATTGGGCGATGTTTTGGGGAAGCCAGCAAGAAAGATCAGACGAAATCATCCTTGGTATTTCTCTGTGATAAACCTCAGAGCAAAGCGTATCATTTATTTCTCCCACCGGTCGTTCGGGGGTTGACTCTGAAAGGATGACTTGCAAGCACGGGAATGAATGTAAGCTGCATCGAAGCGAATTCTAAGCCATCTGTCCGCTCTTCTCATGTTTATTGTTTATTTCACAGGTTTTCGAGCAGCTAAAAAGGGTTTTGGCGCTATCGCAAGATGCAGAGATCATTTGTGAGTAGGACTTAGAACCGAAAAAACATTCTTCTGTTGTAAGCAGGACTCAATTTGCAGCAAGGAAGATGCGAATTTCAAGGTAGGTCAGCCATATTAAGTTTTCCCGGAGTTCCTAGGCTCAGTTCCGAGGGACGCCCTCGTATATTGCGATAGCGCCGAGATCTTTTTCATGGACATGATGAGGGCAAATTCTGCAGCAGATGATCTTCTAGAGAGCAGTCGTTAGGGTTCGCCTTGTTTGCTATCTATAAGTAAGCATCAAGGACTACCTGAATAGCGGTCATTAGGTCCGAATTATGATTGAGCCAAGTTGCAGAAGCCAGAAGCCGGCATGACAATCCCCTTTGTTGTTCTTAGCAGAAGTACATATAGCTACATCGGGACAACACATGTGTACCAATTTCACAACAAGAGAGAAGACGCTTGCGTTTATTGAACTAAGGCACACACGTCGACTCCATCAGAGTTCTATAGCTTTCTCAGAAAACTGAAATAGTGTTGAATGAGAGAACATTTACCTCAGATGGGGAAAACGACATTCAGATATAGCCGCCTATAGAAGCGACCAGTCCGCACGGATGAGGCTGAAGACACTGGTGCTACCCATTACTAGAACTCCTTATCAAAACTGCTGGCAAAACAACACGAGTATCACTCTTGCAGTAAGCATTAAAGTCCTTGAAGCATTGAGCTTGCGAATCGGTTCCCACAGTTCGTACTAACGAGTACATACGTACGAAAATTATTGCAAGCTTGCAGACCTCGTTTCACTATTTCCACGTGAGAGAATTGAGCATTAATCCATGTGGTGCAGTATAACATGATACTAATCAATTTCACTAATCACTGTGATCAAGCATTGCATGAGCTTAAAGGCAGAGGATACAAAAAAGCCCGTCCATAGTAAATCAAGGTAGAGGTAAATCTGGTGGTGCAGGTTGATTGAAAAAATCGAGGAAATGGCCAAAACAGAAAATGAAACCGTTCTGTGCTGTTGATTTTCCGCATGATGCATACTCTGCTAAAGTGTACTCTTCAACGTTAACCCCAGCTGTCTTCTTTTTTTTCTCTCTCTCTCTTCTCTTGAAAACAGCGTAGACTTCAAGCGAAGGGGTGCGGAACAGGTGCGAGCGGCGCGAGTATGGGCCTGCTGAGCGTGGAGAGCATATATTCGCTGGGAAGCGAAACATTGGCCATACCAGAGGGCCTCATGCCTATCATGCTATTATACTTCTTTTCAACCTCAAGATTGTTGTGAAGTGCTTCTTCAAGGCAGAAACTAAAGGAACCACCGAAACTGAACTTAGCTGAGGTGCTACATGGTTCTGTAATGAAGCTATCAAGAGATACGGCCTGTAACTCCAGAAAGGTACTCCTACTGTAACCCTCGGTTTTTTATGGTCTTTTTGGTTCTGGGTACTTAGCAAGAGCCCACGATAGCCGGCATCTTCGACATGAACGCCAAGTTCTTCCTTTCTAATGATGACCATTACAGCAGTAGCTTCAGAGGATCCAGTGTTGCAAGGACTTTAGCGCAGACGCACAACGTACAGCTGCTGAAGGCAGCCATGTCGGTTTAGCGAACGTCAAAAATGGAGCGGAGACAGCCTAAGGAATTGATATGTAGTTAGCGAAGTGCCGAGTAAGTAATTTCCAGCGAATGATTTTTGGCAACATCTAGCCTTTTTAAATTTAGCAGTCTACCATTCATCAAATACATAGAAACGATACCAATTACTACTATTCATCGCAAGATCAATATTTGCCTCTAAATATCATAGTTTTGCCAATAGAGTAACAGGAAATTAGGACAAATTTCGCTTACTCAAGAAGATGATCAAATTGATATGTCACAATAGGACTAGGAAATCTCGGAATGATAGATAAGCACGTGAAGTACCCGAAATTTTGAACGAAAGCAGGAACACGATCAATCGAGAGTGGGATGAAGGACATATGACACCAGGAAGAGCGGCGCAAAGTGAATTGGCCGTCCTTCATCAGATAAAACAACGGCATGAGAAAAAAATGAAGGAACTGATAAGAGTAGAGTTGACTAATGAATGGCATTTTGCGCTGTATTTGAACCTTGAATGACCGTGCTAATTTACTTCACATATCCACTCAATTTGTGGCGAAGTGGTGCAGTGGCAAGTGGCGCTGCTTACTACGCGCGCACGCGCGCCCTCTGAGGATCAAATCCTGGGACGTCCAAGTCAACCGAGCCTTCCATCCCTCCGCGACGACCGAATGAGTACAAATCTTCACGGAGAGATAAAAAACACTCGATTGTACATCGGCCGGCAACCGCACTAGGCAAGGTCAAATCGCATTCGAATTGCTGCTAAGGTTCTGAATGAAAGGTAGAATGCGTGGCGCATTCCAAAATGGAATTGATCAACACCTAATGTTTTATCCTTTACCGCTTTATCAGCTCAAATTCGCAAAGTGTTGGCAATTAATGCTTAGGTGCATAGCACTGTTCAAAAAATAGATAGACTTGACAAAATGAAAGTCAAAGGTGAAGGACAAGTAGGGTACGCCACTATATCAAGCAATGTTTTTCTACATATGGATCCCTTACATCTCGCTGCCTTCTTCTCAATCACCTCCCTCGAGTAACAGTGCCCATTATACGAGCCCACGATCGCGCTGTTTTCCAGAGGGGGGCTTTTATGTGATTCATCCAAACGTTTATCCGTGCAAGGGAGACGATTATCAATAATCGCAGCGTGAATGCTATCAAAGAAATCGTTTACTCTTCGAAATATCCTCCTGCAGTCTCAACTAGAGCCTGGCCCACTTTTCAAAATGCAAGCCTTCACGTTGGTCATGTTTCCTTCGTCCTCAAAGGTCCAGAAGTGACCCTAACTGTTAAAATGCGAAGTTGGTTCCGTCGAGGAGGAAAGGAACACGATATTGGTCTCATATTAGCTTGAGAGGCACACCCGAAGCAGAGGTTTCGTGATCAACAGTGTGCAACGCTTCCTTCGGTCTGGTAGGGTAGACCCACTATCCTGTACAGATGAAGGGAAGCGGACATATAAACTTGTGGCGTTCCCATGCACGGAAGCAACCGAAGCGAGCGCTGGCGGCCTTGCTCCTAAGCTGCAGTTTTATTCTTACCAGGCTGTTTTTGTTGGCGATTGGCTCTCTCTCACAGATACGGAGTTCGGACGCAGTTGATTCTTTACTAGGAACTAGACAGCTTCCTACTTAGAGTGGGACCCATTCTGACGGTTGTACAGTGTTCCGGCAGCTCCTTTGTTTATTGAGCCGAATTATCTTATTCTTTTATGCGCAATGAGGTGCCAGAAGTTATGGCTATGTTTTTTGACACGTTAGCAATTCATCTTTTTTTCCAAAAAAATGCAACATAACATGCAGTTAAACTTTTTTTTTACATAACAATCGCAAATCTTAATACAATTCATGATGAGATTGTGTGTGAAGATTTTTTGATTTGGATTTTTTCAATGCATAGAATAGACGACGATATTTGCCAATCTTGATGTTATAAAGCCCGGTTACGCTGGCTTTTGAGGTTTCCTGCTTGCCCTCAGCTGAAGGATTTGGGGTAGTTGAAGGCTTCGGTTGTTCCGCTTTACCTTGTTGCTCCGCTTTACCTGGTTGTTCCGCTTTACCTTCAGCCGATGGAGTGGGAGCTGCAATGAAAGCGTAGCCGTTAATCAAGTGGTAACGTACGCTGAATCATTCCATAAGCCTGAAAATTTGACCTGAAAGACCAAAAGTTGGCGTCGGGATAATAGACAACGCTCCGACACCAATTTCCACTCTGGAGACAACCGACATCGAGGCTAAATTACGCGGCTAAGAGAGGAGGAAGCGTAAGCTGTTAAAATATCTTCAGAGAATCTCGAAGCTGACAAAGTGGTGCAGGCCGATTTCGGAGCGCCATCATTTTCGATACAGGAGAGTCCTTGCTCGATGGACGCAACATTAGATGACCTCCTATGGCCGATCGGCCGACGTTTCCGCTTCTGCTGTTCCTCCTTCGCAGAAACAAGAACGAATCTCCGACCGAAGGGTTGATGACCGGAGGCGAATTGTAAGTCCTTCACAAAAGCACAAGAGAGCTGCTTTCCCTTCGGGGAACAACCTGTTCAGTATGAGCTGGAGATTCGCTCAACGACTGCTCTGTTACGCGACTGGACGAAATCATGGTGATGCTCGTCTACTGGTAATTTTTAGATAAACTGCAAACAGTCGCGGATATCGTGCGGACGAAGAAAGTTGAGGCTCTCGGGAACGCCATACAAGAGGAGAGGTGGGAGAGAGTGGTTGTTTACTTGAGACGATGCTCCACCCTGTTCCTTCCGCACTTACCGTTAACGTCAGGAAGTTAGACTAGAGTGACTTGGGACTTCACTGCCATGCTTCCCTTACTTGACCTCTTCCAATGTCCTCTTTTCAAATCCTCGAAAATCGTGGAGGAAGGAGCTTCCACAATGTGATGAACGTAAGATGTGTATTGACTCGATCGTCGGAGCGCACTTGTCGAACTTCTAACAGAGTGGCGTTCAGGTTGCCAGCGAGATAAAAGAAGGTCATCAATACAAATAGTAGACTACTCAGTGCTGGTTGGAATATACGTTCCTATAAAGTGGGAAAAAACGTGATGTACCCACATTATTTCCCGACAACCAGTACTTTTTTGGTTGTCATTGTGTATGGATTGTTGAAAAGTTTGGGCAAATGCTCTCCACTGCAGTACCAATTAAAACTTGAAATATAGTTCAGACCAACTGCACCTGTAAGAGCGGGATCAGGTAATTTGCTCTGGTCCAATTCCCAATCGTACGGGAATTCGTTGAGTCCATTTGAAGTGAGTGCATCTCGCAGAAGTCCTCGAATGATGGCATAGTTGGGCTTGTCATAGTAACGTAATGTGTCGATGTAAAGCATAATGTGAATGTACTCCTTCGGACAATCCAGCGAATAGTTTTGTTAGACCTGCAATGAGTAATAGAGGCAGCGATTACGATAGGGTCAGAAGGGTTTAGAGGAGACGTGGTGGTGCTCAATGGTACGCCAGTGGCAAAAAAGAGAAATCCGTCAAAAAACGCAAAACGGGACCCCTTTTTTGGCCGTTGGTTTTCACTCATGAACAGGTAACAGCTCAGAAAGCGGACGTATGAACGAGTTCACCGCAACGCGTTTGGTGGCACCATGCCAAACCACGCTCCAATCGAGTTGCTCCAGTTGTGCCGCTGCTGGCAACGCAGCTCGTCCAAATCACCAACTAAACTAGTGGGCGGATCGCTTTTGGGGGCGGAGTGCTTTCTGAGCCTCTAAACCC